ACAACTAGGTTGGCATTGTCCATTTACAAGACGTTCGTTTGATCCGCAAGTTGGTTGACATTGGCCATTAACATAATTCTGATTAGGTCCACATGAAGGTTGGCATTGTCCATTTACAAGACGTTCGTTTGGTCCGCAAATTGGTTGACATTGGCCATTGACGTAACGTTGGTTTGGTCCGCAAGTTGGTTGACATTGGCCATTAACGAAACGTTCATTTGGCCCACAGGTAGGTTGACATTGTCCATTTACAAGACGTTCGTTTGATCTGCAAGTTTGTTGACATTGGCCATTAACAAGTTTCTGATTTGGTCCACATGTAGGTTGGCATTGTCCATTTACAAGGCGTTCGTTTGGTCCGCAAATTGGTTGACATTGACCTCCAACGAAGCGTTCATTTGGTCCACAATTAAGTTGGCATTGACCATTAACGAATCGTTCATTTGGTCCGCATGTAGAACGGCATTGGCCACCAATAAGTTGTTCCTTTGGTCCGCAAATTGGTTGACATTGTCCATTTACATAACGTTGGTTTGGTCCGCAGTTTGGTTGACATTGGCCATTAACGAAACGTTCATTGGATCCGCAAGTAGGTTGACATTGACCATTTACTAAATGTTCTTTTGGTCCGCAAATTGGTTGACATTGACCATTTACGTAACGTTGATTAGGTCCACATATTGGTTGACACTGTCCACCTACGAGATGTTCCTTCGGTCCACACAACGGTTCGCAACGGCCATTTACGAAGTGGAAGTTCGGGCCGCATGCTGGTTGACATTGACCATTTACCAGTTTTTCATCTTGACCACATTTCGGTGGTAGATATGGTGGACCACGAATGGAAGAGGAGAATCTTACATCATCATCAAATTTCGTGTTACTATAATCTACAGTGCTTCCAGTAAATGGAGCATCCCTAGTCGGTTTGGCAGTGCTCGAACCACTTAATCGGTTAGCATCAGCTCCAGTCTCGCCGTAATTAGATACAGTCAGCTTCGGTTCACTTGTCAACTTGAAGTTTGAACTTTTTCCAGAAGATACGTAGTCTGATTGGTCTTTGTAACGGCAACAAGCTTCGGATTTTGGATTACAGTACGAAACCTAAGAGGGATAAAGAAAAAAAAAACATGATTATTGCTGACATTTTGATGATGATAATTGTTCCTTTTTCACAAACGATAAATGCAAGAAGACGTATTATTAATTGCACTTTCTAAAATCATATACAGAATGGAAAATGCTCAAATGTCATTCGGAATTAGTTAATAAATAGGCAAGACTTTTTTCTATTGAACTAAAATGTATAAAATTGGTCACAGCTCAAACAATCATTACATTACATTGTACATAAATCACTTCTTGCTCATACAACTATATTTTTTTTTATTGAACGCTCGAATCTGACATTTCGGTGTTTGTTAATAGACCTTGTGAACTTTATCGCTTGACGTTTCTTCTTTTCATATTGTTGTCGTTGGCTTCCTCAAAATTGTGCAACCGAATTTCGCAAATTGAATTTTCAAAATCTCATCGATTTGAGATATATAAAAGCTTTCCTGAAATATGGATACAACATAACGATATACCACAATTATCCTTTGGTTGAATACTCAAAATAAGAGTAAAATTATTGCCACAATAATACAATAACCTTTTGGGTATTGCAATTCGCTGCTGATTATATTTTCGCACGGATGTGTGTCATTGTCATCTACTATTTGTCTACTTCATTATCAACGCATTATATCTATTCTCCGATGGTTCTATTGTCGATTTCACGAAGATCGAAGATTACTCAAGAATCGAGAATCAATAAGTCGAAGACGCGGCTACTAATAGACGTTCGAAACGCCCACGAATTTTAGCACTTTAATGCCAACGATTCATCTCATCTCAGATGATGATTACATTTAATTTCCTCCTGAACTAATGAATAGATTCGCAATGCCGAGTTT